ATGGAAAAAAAAATTATATAATAAATATAATATAATAAAACATAATATAATAAAAAATTAAAATAAAATAAAAAATCTGCATGTGTGCAATAATTATAAGACAGAACACAAGAACAGGTCCTGTGTAAACGAACTCTAAACAGCCTTAAAAATTCATAGCTTAAAGACACTTCCCATATACACATGGCTATGCACAGACCTCACAGGTGCCACACAACATACACATTTACCACACCTTTCAAATTAGGTGTACACTTCATATAAAGTGTGTGACTAATTACGTACATTTAAGGTGTAATATGTGCAAGCCACAAGGCCACTGCTCTAACTACTTTGCAGTTTAAAGAGAGAGCTGTGGTCAATAGCATGATCAATATTAGAGGAGTTTAAACTCTCTCAATACTCCCCAAACATTCAGCATCGCACTGATACGCCCCACTGATGCATGATGTCATCACTGCATGCCAGTACTGCTGAGCGATCATTTGTATAAAAAGTCAGTGACTGCTGAAGAGAAGTGTAGAGAACAGGTAATAATACACTTAATAAATGTTAGTCACTGAACTAAATTACTGCATTGCCCTTTAAGAGTGGCAGGTTTTGCGAGCAAGACAGTGTATGTGTGTGTGTGAGGAAGAGGGATCATTTTCTCATCTTAATAATAGCAGAGAGTGACGCAAATTATAGTTCACATACTCAAGCGCTCACACACTCAAGCGCACACACACACACACACACACAAACACACACAAACACATACACATTTAGCGTCAGCAGTTAAATCATGCCTCAATACTCCACCTGATTATAAATGAATGGGATAATTAAAGCAACTCAATACACACTCTCTCTCTCTCTCCCACACACACATACCCAAGCTTAATGGATGCATTTTTTATCTGAGTCATACAGCTCCATTATTTAGCCTCCCTATTGTCTGATTGACTGACAGCGGAACATTCCAGAAATAAACAGAGGAGTCACGTCAGGACAAGAGAGCACATAAACACACAGCCTCCTTTACAAAAAGAAAGAAAGGAAAGAAGGAAGAAAGAAAGAAAGAAATGAAGGAAGGAAGGATGAAAGGAAGGAAAGAAAGAAAGGTAGGAAAGAAAAGAAAAAGAAAGAAAGAAACTAGCAAAACAAAAACATGACTGCCAGAAGATAAACAATCTATGTTACAGAAAGTCAGAATGTATTTCAACAAGCTCAGTAAAAAAAAGAAATACAAGTTCAGTGTAATTTAAAAAATTGATTTGACCCAATATAAAGTACCGTTCAAAAGATTTTTTTGAATGTTTTTAAAACAAGTCTCATGCTGAAATTATTTTTTAAAATAATATAATAATAATAAAATTACAGTATAACATTACATTAAACACAGCAAAAACAGTAATATTGTGAAATAATATTACAATTTTAATATATTTTAAAATTATAATTTATTCCTGTGATGGGAAAACTTCATTTTCAGCATCGTTAATAAAGTTTTCAGTTTCACATGATCCTACAGAAATCATTCTACTATGCTGATTTGGGGCTCAAGCAACATTTCTTCTTATTATTATCACTGTTTAAAACAGTTGTGCTACTTCATATAGTAATATTAGATTTTTTTTATGAAAGTAACAGCATTTTATTGAAATTTACGTTTTACTGTCAACTTTGGTCAAATCAATACATCCTTGCTGAAAAAAAAGTATTAATTTCATCTTCTTCTTCAAAAAATAAAAAATTAAATAAATAAATAAATACATTTGAATGGTAGTCTGTGTGCTCTGTGTTTTTATGATTTTTAAAATAACACGCCATTAACCTACCATCATGCTAAAGTCACACTAAACTGAAATCAGTACAACTACACAGAGTTGCTACCTATGCACAACATTCCAGATCACTTTTGGGATAGTAAGGATGCTGTCTTTTTAGACAGCTCACTAGATTTTGGAACAGAGTTACAGACTTTACCTGTCCGTTTGGTATAGTCTTGTTTTGTCATGTCATTGTCCTCATTTGTAAGTCGCTTTGGATAAAAGCGTCTGCTAAATGACTAAATGTAAATGTCATGTATATTAACTATTCATTTGTATAACTTGCTTAATTACTATTGACTTCCGTAGTTATCTGTCATGTCAATAAAGCACAACAAAGAAGAGAGAGAGTGAAAGTGTCAGTGATTCATCCTCTCCTCCTCACATGTTCTTGCTGTCTAAGTGCTGCCATGCTTTTCCTGTCAGACACCCAGATCCATTCTGTCTCTCTACCTCATTGTCTCTGTCTTTCTCCAGGAAGTGGCGTGCGACATGGCTGGGGAGAATGTTCCGGAGCATGTTCTCATTGTGTTCACGCAGCTCTCGCATCTCATTTATCTCTTCCTTCGCCTGTACACGCCATAGGAAGTCCAGACGAGCGGTATACTCCAGCTGAGAGACAGAGAGAATAAAGCTAGTCAGAACTAAAAAGCATCACAAGATACATTAAATCAACATAAACAAGCAAAAACACAGGACAGCCAATCAGTGTTGCAGCCCTATACAGTTATTTTACAAAGCATTCATCAGGATCACACAGACAGTGAGGGACAAAAAATATTAATAACAAAATATATAGCAGGGATTCTCCTATGCTCACCAAGATCAAAGCATGATCAAAACACAGAGAAAACAGTAATACTGTGAAATAGTATTACAATTTAAAATAACCGTTTTCTTTTTCAATATATTTTAAAACGTAAGTTATTCCTGTGATGCAAAGCTGAATTTTCAGCATCCATTACTTTAGTCTTAAGTGTCACATAATGCTTCAGAAATCATTCTGTTATGCTGATTTGATGGTGAAGAAACTTGCTGAAAATATTTATTTGCAATTTGCAAATTTGTTGAAAACATTTTTTTAATTTTTGTAGCATTATACACATTTACTGTCACTTTTAACCTATTTAATGTGACGTAGTTGAATACATTTTACTATCCTCAAACCTTTGTTTTATATATATAAGACGAAAAGGCTTTAAGTTTCAAAGAAGAGAGAGACAAAAAATGGGTATATCTAATAACCGTCAGCAATACTAGGTAGATAAATCGCAAATACACACTCAGCAAACACAATCCAGTCACTGGAAAAAAAGACACACAAAAATCCTAGCAACCAGAAGAGGAAAGCATCTGTAGGTAATCAACGATAGGAAAGATGCACAGAGGTGCACTTTCTTCTTAAATGTGGAAAATAACTCCTAATCAGAATTTTTTTTTTTTTTTTACAAATGCTTTACAACATTGATTCCAAATGTTCTTATATAGGCTTTTACAATTTAATGTAAAAGACTATTGTATATTTACACAAGTATTAACTTCCCACATCTTACTATTTATAATGCCATCCATTTGCATCAATGTCAACATTTTTACATTATAAGTGCTTTAGCTAAGTTTTGTAGGTGTGATTTTGGCCCATTGCTTCATGCTGATTTGCTCCGGTTTGTTGAGGTTAATCAGATTTCATTTTCAAACAGTGCCATTTTCTCAGTTGAATTATACTAGTCTTTAACTAGGCCGCTGTAGGTTATTCACATTTTTGTTTTGAACAAGTTAATTAAAAAGTGAATTTGGCTTTGGAATCATCATTCTGCTAAAATCATCAGGCTTTTGCTGTTTATATCTGGACAAGCGTCTCAGATGTGTCTCCTGTGACCACTAGTGTCCAGATTCAATAGGAGGGTCTCTGATTTCATGAATACACAAATCACTCACAATGTTTGTGTTATTGCATGTAGACAAAGTGCAAAAAGCGCTGTCTATGAGGCATCAGGACAGATTAGCGTTTACACAGCTGTCCTTCAGATTCACAAGATGAATCATGATTCCTCAAATGAGACTATCAGAGCAATATAAAACATCACATTAAAATAATTAAGTTGTAGTGCTTTGAAATGTCACAGACAGTTTAATGAGGGTTTAAGTTTTTCTCCCCCAATCTAAACTCCAACTTTACTCTCTTAAAAGGACAAAGTACACCACCATTCAAAAGTTCGAGGTCAATCAACTTTTTTTATGCTTTTGTAAGAAGTCTCTTATGCCTAAATATTTTTTACAATTAGTTTTTTACATTTAAAATGAATTAAAATAAATAAAATTCCAAATACATTTATTCCTGTGAATTTTTAGCAGCCATTATTTCACTTTAGTGTCACATGATCCTTCAGAAAAAATATTAATATGCTGATTTGGTGCTCAAAAAACATTTCTTATCAATGTTAAAACGTAAAGCATTGTGACACATTTTGGGAAAACTGATATATTTAGCTTTTCTAATTATCCGATGAATAAAAAGTTCAAAAGAACAGCATTTATTTGAAATTTTAAATATTTACTGACACATTTTTGTTCATTTAAAATTTTAAAAATTTATAATTTTTTTGTTGTCCTTTTTGGAGCTTGACTACTTCTTACAACCATCTACCTCTACTGCATGAAAAAACAGCCAAGATATTCTGAAAGCGAAAAATCTCCTTTTGTCCTCAAGCAACACGAGTAGATGATAACATCATTTTTGACATCACTGTTTTATTTCTTTCATACACTGTACGCAGTAAGTACCCTTAAATGCTTTGGCAGTGTCGTGACCCTTTGCGGTACATCTCGACTCTAACAGGAAGTGAGCTGATATCTCTGTTCAGCCTGGCTCCCATCAGCTCTCTTCCAGCCAAAGTGCTCCAACAAGGTCCCCCCTAATTAAGCAGTAACACATGCTCATCTGCATACATTAATATCCAGCTTTAATTGGAACTGTTTCACAAAGGCGTCCAGATTGAAAAATTAATTTACTAACAGTCAGGGTGTGATGTAAGTGTTTATACATGTGTATGAGTGTAAAATGCGTGTGTGTGTGCATTTATTTGCGTATGCTCTCAAAAATGATTTTATGAGGAGTAATTATGCAAGTGGGGCAGACAGGGGTGTACGACTGTCTGACTGATTATTAAAAACACATCAACAAGACTAACCTCCATTAACCTCTAAAACACATGCACACACACATAGAGATGGACACACACACTCAGACATTAGACAATTAAGGGCAGTGCATATAAAGCAAATTACTTTTGACAAAAGCAAACTGTATGAAAAGAGTTTAATACAAATTAGTTTTAGAAGTTTTAGGTGTCTTGAGAGGGCCGGTTTTGAATCTCGCTACTGTCTGGAGTGGTCCGGGACTTTATCGCTATCAGAACAGTAATTTAAATGGTTAAAGTCTGGCTGGTGGAAGAGCAGCTGTTACAATAGTGGCTAAAATTAATGCATTGTTTTATTCATGATAAAATGATGTGCTAAGCTCTTCGGTGGTGACATTCTGGTTCTCAAGGCTCTCACTCAGCAGATAATACAAAAGTTATATCCCTCATGCCTTATTCCGTTGAGCAAGGCATGTACCTGCATTCACAGTTTAATTAAGGGGAACATGTGCTGAATTTACGCCATTTTATTGCCTTTCATTAATAATTTATAAAAAAAGTGAATAAAACAACTAGTTTATTAAAACAACCTATTATGCACCTTTTTACAAAATGTAATATGTCTCAGGTGTCCCCAGAATGTGTCTGTGAAGTTTCAGCTCAAAATACCCCACAGATAATTTATTATATCATTTAAAAAAATGGCTATTTTGAGTAGAAGCAGAAACAGGCTGTTTTTGTGCATGTCTCTTTAAATGCAAATGAGCTGCTGCTCCCCGCCTCCTTTTCCAGAATGGAGCTCTGCCTTTACAGCTGGTATCTCAGGGTGCTTTCACACTTGGTTCGATTGCTCCCCCCTCCCCCTGCCCCTGCTGGACTGTGTTCACATTATATTATTTGGGTCCGAACCGCGGTTCGTTTGCGTCATCAAGCCAGCAGCTGTTTACCCCGTTGCTTAGTAACGATGGCGCAGGAGAAGACGGCAAAATGCGTAGCAAGGCTCTCTTCAATTTTATTTTTGATTATCATGTCTATCGCACTGAAATCATGCGTTTTAAAGCCATAACAGTTTAAACTTCTGATATACGGTGATATACAGCTGGAATAGAAATTGCATGTTTATATTAGATCGTGTATTAAAGGTGCAGTGTGTCAATTTTAGCGGCATCTAGTGGTGAGGTTGCGAATTGCAACCAACGGCTCAGTCCCTCGCTCACCCCTCCCTTTAGAGAAGCTACGGTGGCCGATACAGGACTAAGATGTCGTCGGTAAAGACAGCAGAAAGCAATGAGATTTCTTTACAAAGG